AAAAAAAGGAAAAGAAATATAACTTTATCCCCGGAAGAGAATCTTAATCATAACTCTTAATTAACAATAAAAACATTCTACTGGCATCATCTGAATCTTTTCAGAAAACAGACCCTAAAAAAATATATAGTTTTCAAGTCAGAGGTGCTTTATGTACAAAAGTTACTTGTAAGAGAACTTATTTACATGATTATTAGGCTATGGAAGATATTTTAATTTTGGTAGCTTCTGCATTAAACATAGCTTTTAAATTTATTTATAGTCAAGAGATAACATAAGAGAAGTCTGTGTATCCTTCTCTTGGTGACTCAGAAGCTCTTCTTAAGTTAAACAATACATTAAGCTGAACTAAAAGAAATAAATAGTAAGTTAACGGTATTGTTAAAAAAGTAGTTCATAAGTTTTTGTTTTTGCATGCAAAGAATGCCTAGAATAAGCTAAAGAAAATTTATTAAAAATCACCATTACCAACATAAAATACTTAAATGAGCAGAAAAATTTATCTTTTTAATATATTAGAAATAGGTTTATTTTATTCCAATGGTTCAATAAAAATTATTCTTATGGTTTGAGAAATTTGTGGTTCGAGACAACTGCTTATAAAATATGTTAAGTAAAATTGTAAGAATCATGTAAAAATTCAATAGAATAGCAAAGTTTTTTTTATGCATTTTGTTATTGTCTAGTTTCACTGTGATCCTAGATTTAATTAAAAGCAAATAAGTATAGTTCACTGTCACCGTACTACAATCAATTAATCTAAAACGATATTATAAAACGATAATATCATACAACTGGCGACCTGAATACAAATAAAAGGCAATATATTTGAGAAAAAAAGCACTAAAAACTTCTTAAAAAAATGAACAATTTTCACTATTTGACAGACTTGTCTAATGCAAATAAAATCAAGAAAATATGCAATTGTTAACTATATTAAAAAAATTATCTGGAAAATAATAATTTTCCTCCTTATTTTTCAAATATTTTTCATAACTAAAATAGTTGGTTAATTTTTAAGTATTTTAAATTCAAATAAACATTATTTAAAAAACAATATTTTTAAGTATAATCATTATAATATTTACTAATGTATTATAATATTTTTTGTATTATAATACTAAAAAACAATATTTTTAAGTAGCATTTCAAGAACGTTAACTTCTAAATTTGAGTAAATAATTTGCTGTTTATTACAAAATTAATAATTTAAATTCAAATGAAGATTCATTTTATTTGTAAAATTTTAAGAATCACTACAAACAGGAGGAAAGAATTATTATTAAAAATAATACTCATTAATATTTTTCTTAATTATGATGATGCACAGAAATAAGTAAGTGTGTCAAATTAATAAAACTTCAGAATAAAATCTTAGATGGGTGAAGTATTTATGCTCTTTTTACAATTTTCTTTAATTATGACGAAAAATAACTAAATACTATCAAAGCACAGTACATAATTTTAGAATGAACAAATTACTAATTAAGTAAGGCACATTATTTTAAGTACAATTTAAATGTTTAAAAATGTCATGTTTATTAAACTAAATTTATTTTAAATGTAACAAAATATTAATTAAAAATATTAATCAAATAATCATTTTCCCAGTAATATATTTACATTTTATAAGTAAAACATTTATATAAAAATACCATAAACGTACACAAAGACTATCTAAGTACACATCAAGAAATATATATCACACTAATTATTTATTTTAACAAGGATATTTCAAATAATGCAATGAGCATTTCTTCAATATAAAACTAATAAATAAAGGAAAAAGCATTATGACAGGTTTAGAAAGTAAGAAACAAAAATAACCTTTAATTCCAAATGTAGGACCTTGAGATGGTTGTCGTAAGCAGACTACAGTATTTCGTTTCATTTGAACTGCTAAAGCTTGACACAGACCAACTGCCGTAGTGCTTTTACCTTCGCCAAGAGGAGTTGGTGTGATTCTACAAAAAAGATAAATGAGTCCTAAATATTCTAAAAAACTCAAAGGAAAGGCAAAGTATTTGCACGTTTTAGATGAAGAAATCAACTGTAAANGGTTTATTATAAAGTAAGAAACAAAAATAACCTTTAATTCCAAATGTAGGACCTTGAGATGGTTGTCGTAAGCAGACTATAGTATTTCGTTTCATTTGAACTGCTAAAGCTTGGCACAAACCAACTGCCGTGGTGCTTTTACCTTCGCCAAGAGGAGTTGGTGTGATTCTACAAAAAAGATAAATGAGTCCTAAATTTTCTAAAAAAAGTCAAAGTATTCACATTTTAGATGAAGAAATCAACTGTAAAAAATAATACTAATTAGATAATACAATATGTTAATTAAATCAATGGAAAGCACTGTGCAATAGATAAGCCAGTACTTTTCAGTTACCCAAGCATAAGACATAAACTATTTTTTTTTTAATTTAATTTTTATGTGTTTAAAAGATAAATAAAATAGAAAGTATTTTGAAAAAACTTAGAGGAGGTCAAAATTTTTTGGCGACTTTTCCCTAGGACCTGGCTAATCTAAAAGTAGCAATAAGCCTTAAATTCCAAAACAGAATATTGGTTTAAAAAAAAAATTTTTAAATAAGATGCAAACTACTATTCAAAATTTTATTACTTGTAGCGACAGCATTACTACTATTGACTAAATTGATTGTTTTCCAGTGACAAAGACAAAAATTAAAAAATACAGCCAATATCTGACAAAATATGAAGAATGATACTATTGTGATTGAAAAGAATAAGTTTTAAAGGTGAATACACTATAAATAAATAACAGACTGACAAAAAATATTCCTTACACTTATTTACACCATATTTCTTTAATAAATTACAATATCACGTAATTTTTTTATAATACAAACTATCAGGTGAAATAGATAAGAAATAAAACACATCTATTTTAAATTTTATATATAATCTGTCAGATAAGAGAGCAATTTTAGTTTGATAAAATACAAAATATTTTCAAAAAGATAGTATTTATTGAAATAGATTAGCCACTTTATCCATTATGGTCTGGCTACAAGCTCTCATTTAAACTAGAACTTTTTTTAACTAAATAATCTTAATTTTATGATATTTTTTTGTAATGCTTGTTAATAATTTGATTAACTGTGGATTTAAATAATTTGATTAACTATATATATATATTAATGATTTGGTGACAGACTTGGCAGACTAAAAAAATTTATTGCTAAATCTTTCAGTATCAATAAAACAGCTATTTCTGTGACTTATTAGATAACTACTCAGATTCTAAACTCAAAAATTGAATTTGTTTTATTTGTTATTATCATTTTTATAATTTTTTTTGCAATATTATTATTATCATGGTGAGGGGCGGAAGTTTATGTTTAGTCTTAAGTATGTATTAACAAGCTAAGATTGTAATTGTGCAATTCAAGAGAAAAATGGTTTAAGTTAAGAAAGAATTAGAAACTAATAATTCAGTTACAACCTGCTTCTACAAATTTTTTTTACTAAGTTTATTCCGCTGTTGATCAGAATTTAAGTATATGAATGTGGCACACATAGTTGAAATATTTAATTTAATAAGTATTCTTTGAAAAAGCTAAAACAATGGGAAAAAACTAATGCACTGATAATACCTTAAAAATCACAAAACAATAAAAAATAAATAAAAATTACACACCCTGCTACCACGACATATTTTCCCGATTTCCTAGTCTTTAACCTGTCAAGAACTGACAGTGATACTTTACATTTTGTATATCCATAAAGTTCAATTTCATGTGGAAAAAGATTCATCTCTTTAGCCAAATCTGCAATATGTTTCAGTTGCTGTGCTCTTGCTATCTCTAAATCACTATGGAAAAAAAAATATAGCTAGAAATACAGATCAATACAATAAAAGTAATAATAATAATAACAAATCTTCGAAATTTACAACAAATACAACAAACATTTTCCCAATCCTTGGGAAATGAAATTTAGAAATTAAAAAAAAAAAAATTCACATTTTAAAAAGAATAAAAGCTTATATTTTAAATTAAAAATATAAACAAATAATAATATAAATACTTAATTAAAATATAAACACATTTTAAAATAATGAAATGCAAAATTAAATGTTCCTGCAGTAATGGATTACAATTAAATAATAAAAACTAAGAAAAAAAATAAGAAATGAATGGTTGTCATGCTAACAGAAAATATTGAATTACACTCAGTAATTAAATAGCATTCATTAAAATCCCTTCAAACTAATGCAGATTTATAAACCAATAAAAAATTCTGATAGCTACTAATTAAAGATTTATAGTTTTTGAACATTTTTTTTTTTATTTTCAATACAGCAGGCGATACAGACATTATCCTAACGCCGTACAGAGATCAAAAGAAAAGAGAAATACAAATACAGAAAGAGATGAAATATACAAAAAACAAAACATCAAACACAAAAATTAAATCAAGAATTTAAATTGAACAAACGGTCTCTGGCCTCCCAGTATTGAGAGTAGATACAGTTCTTTGTGAGAACTGAACAGTTGAGGAGATGCTGAGCATTCATCGTTGTACCACTGCGTTAGAGGGGACAGGCAGGATTATCCACCATTTTAAGACGGAAAAGATGAGCGTATAAGCAATCGTGCTTGGTAGCAAGACGAAAGGCAGCTACAGCACTTCTTCTTGGGCAATCGGGGAGATTAAGGATTTCTCCACGATTTTTCTATTGTCATTGTCAGTTTTTTAACATTTGGAAACTAATTTGCTCAATACATCCATACAGCCAAATCTTGAAATACTCATACCCCCCATTTTCTAATCTGTTTCCTTCATTTGTTCACCCACTACATCAAAAACCATTCATAGCAACGTAAACCTATAATATGCATTTGAAATTAAAAGTAGACAGCATTAGCTACAAACAATTTAGAGAAAAAAAATTAATAAACAAGCATGTGAAAAATCTAAAGACTGACCTCGTATTCAGGGAGGCAACAAAAACTCGAGAAAAAATTCCCTGTTCTAGACTGATTTTATTCAACTTCCCAGAATTTTGTAACTAAATTTTATTATTTATTTTTTGGCTATGCCTTATTCTTCATATTAAAACATATTATAAGACACTTCAATGTGTGTCAAAATTTTCATAAAAATTATTATAAAATTATTTTAGGTAACTAAAACAAAATTTATTCAATTTCCCCAACTTTTGGAGTAGTATAGTTAAATTCCTTCATTTTTTCAAATTGGTAAAACTGCACGACTTTTCCACATTTTGTAGCCACCTGGGAATATATACACAAACAAAAATTATAATAATGGAAAATATGAAATGACTAGTGCTATTAAGTTACATTTTCTAAAGTAATTAGGTAATATCTAACAAATATATCTAATGTAATGCAATGTAACATAATATCTAATGTAATGTAATATCTTAGGAAGTAAACAATACCTCTGACCAGGTGGGCCAAATTTCAAAGGAATGCTTTTCAAACTCCATTCAGGCTAAAAAACAAATATAAATAAGATGTATTATTCAAAAATTAAATTCACAAACAAAACAATGAATTGAACTCTTTAAAAGCGTTTTTTTTTAATTATAATCACTCAAAAAAATAATGTACAGTAATAAGATCATTACATCAATACTAACAGAAGATCCAAGAATAGGTACTAAGCATACATTTCAAGAATCAAAAATTAAACTTATGATACCATCTAACTAAACGATATACAAGTATGTGCCAGTTAAATATTTCTCTTTAATTTAAAAAGTTGACCGTGTGATTACTGAACTTTTCTTTAATGTATAATAAACATCAGAATCTTATTGGTACATTTAACTTAAATTGTTCACCAATTTTTAAAAAATGCATATATACAAGAAAACATGAATTTTCTACTTAAATAATCTGTTCATTGTTGCCTCCCCTTTTAGAAAATGAACTAAAAGTGTTTGTTATACCAAAAAGTGATTCAAGTTTACAGGTATAGAAATCGTTAGTCAAAGTACTTTTGCACTAGATTATGTGACCGAATATACTTTGTTTTAAACCAATTATTGGTTAAACTGCTTAATTAAACTAGTGATTTAATGCTAAATTAAACTCGTGTATTATTTTTATCCACACAATTGCAACATTTCTAAGAACAGGAAGTTATAGAATCAATAGTGTAATATTTTTTTGATTTCTATGTTGTTGTAGTTCATTTACGTCACACTAAAGCTGCACAATGGGCTATTGGCGACGGTCTGGGAAACATCCCTGAGGATGATCTGAAGACATGCCATCACAATTTCGATCCTCTGCAGAGGGGATGGCTCCCCCGCTTTGGTAGCCCGACGACCTGCGCGCGAAGTCGAGCACTTTACGGTAGCACAGTTTAACGAGGACCAATACCGCACATCCTCGGTCCCTACGCAGACTGATCCAAGTGGTCACCCACCCGCACACTGACCGTAGCCAGTGATGCTTGACTTCGGTGATCTGCTGGGAACCTTGTCTTAACGATCAGTCCACTGCGGGACTGATTTCTATGAATGTGATTGATTGTGTCTGTGATTATCCACTAACCATGATTTTTTAGACATCATGATCATCTGGTATCCAGTACTTTTGGATCCCTGATTATTGGTATACAAAGCTCATTAAACTTTCTTTTCTATGCATTTTATAAATACATAGTTTCCATTCAAATATAATTTAGACACATTATAAAGTGCAAAATTCAAATTCAGGAGAATACAACTGAAGAAATATTATAACTGCATAAAACTTGCTTTTAAGATTTTTAAATACATTTTAATACTTCAAATAAAATTATGTATTTATGTAAAGTTTCTTTGCTTTTTTTAAATTTTTACCATACAACACAATAAAGTATCATACATTACATAGCTATAAAAATAATATATTGCTTTCTCTTATCATTATTTGAACATTGTATTTTTTACAAATATAAAGGATATTTGACTTTTAATAATTAAAAATATTAAATGCCTTAATAAAATGCATAGAACAAAATTATAAAATTGTTACTTACATCATACAGGTTTTTGATATTTTGAAGAAGATTTCTGGCAATAACTTTTGCAACTTCAGCATAAAATGTATGATTAGAAACGACAATATGATTTTCAGTATTCAAATCTTGTTCTGAAAACATTGTATAATAATAATAAGAAAATATTTATGCAAATGCATATTAAATTGTTAAGAATTATGAAAATTAAGAAAAATATGCTTGAAAGTGAAAATTAATGAGACTTGAGATGAATGTTATTAAACAATGTGAGTGATAGGGACATGATTTTTTTTTTTTCAAATTGCAAATATATGAGTGTGTAACATATTTGCAAAAATAATTTTATTTTGAAATTACAGCAAGTAAATCAGATTTAAAATATTTATAAAAAATAAAAGTTTCTAAAATAGAATTTGATAATAAATCACAACAAAAATGCTGAATGTTTACAGTAATATTTTTTTAAATATTATAACAAAACTTAAAAATGAATCTTCATAATTTATAAAAATAATCTTAAACACAAGATAAAACATCCAGATAAAACACAAAATATTAATATGGCAGATCAAAAGTTGCTCAGATATTTCAAAATTGTAAATCTTCAGAAAATTGAGTTTAACCTTGACTGAACAATGCTATGAGAACTAAATTATTTATAAAAACATTTCGTTTTTTTTTTNCGAAAACAAAATTTAATACACTTGTTTTTTTTTTTTTTTTTTTTTAAATTTACTCTGCATAGTAAATTTTGAAAAAAAAAATGACAGCATGTTTTACAAAATTTGTTCATCTTTCATTAGCAAAGCAAATAATTTTTTAAGACCTATAAATTAGAAAGAAACAAAATATAATAAAAACTTATTGATTTTAAAACTGCAAAAAATTTTGTATTGATGATCTAACTTCTTAAAAAAATTGATTTAAGTCAAAATTTTAAAATTTTGTAACCTTTTTTGTAACTTTTTAACTTTTATTCTGAAGTTAAGATTATTTCTCCTCTGCCACATTATTAAATGAGAAGTTATGATCACTATATAAATGTATCCAATCAATTAGCAATTGGTAGATGTTAATTAAAAAAGAAAATCATCAATAATAACAGCTAATGCTATTATTTAACAATTTCTCTATCAAAAAATTATTAATAGAAAAATAATAAGTGAAATGTGTCAGTTAATTTTTTGAAGCAAATTTACCTTCTGTAGAAGCAAAAGAACAACTTAATAAAATTGAATTTGGTTTCATCCATTGTTTGATCTTCTCATAGGCTAAACTAATTGATATGATGACGTCAGCATTACTTACCTAAAAGGTGAAAAAACAATTAGAGGAAATTTAATAAAAATGAATTAATAATTAAGTTAACATAAAATTGCTAAATGAGTTTCCTTTTTATAAAACAAAGAGATTTTTTAATTAATTGTATAACCTTTCACCAAACATTGGTTGCGCCCACATTAAATGACAGATTTAATTTCATCAAAAAAATAAAAACATAAAAGAGAAGTAGCAACTTATAAACTCACAATAGATGATAACCTTTCATCGCAACTTTGACAAACAGTAACTACAGAATTATGTTCGATAAGCACTTGTGACAAGACAGAAGGATTCTTTAATCCAACAATGCAAATATTTCCCTGAATTGCTGATGGCTCTATAATATAAAACTTCACAGTCAGCATACATTCTAGTAACCAAAAGTTCTTAAATTCTAGTAGTTCTTAAATTATAAACCAAATAAATTGAAAATGCATGAAGCTATTGAGTTATATTGTTTTAAAAAGCACTATTTAAATCTTCAAAAACTTATTAAATGTAAAATATAATAATCCAATGACAAGAGTGCTGGATTTCAGTATTTTACATATTTTAAACCTTAAAATGGTCTTGAAAAGGCCTCTTAAATCTGACATCATGTTGCATGTGGGATAGAAAACTAATTTTCCCCTAGGTTCTGTAAACCCCATGAGAAACATTCTATATTTACAGAAAGAACAAATAGGAAAAATAAATAAAATATGCTTAAGATGCACAGGTGATACCAGAATTCTACCACCTGCATGTTTTGGGAGAACCTAAAAGATAGAGAAGCATCATTGATTGAACCATATCTGCAAAATTAAATTTAAGTAATTCAACGTGAATTAACTTTTAAAAATCGAATTATATATTAATGTCTTATCTTGTATTATATCTGAATTTTAAATAATTTTACAAAAATATTATTTTAAAAACACTGCAGTAAAATTTTTAAAAAAAAAACATACTTAGTTTTTTAATCAGTTCGAGGGTTGCAGCAGCAAAGCAATGTTGGGAAGCATCAATGCGCCGCCGCAGAAATCCATTCACACTGTCCCGAGAAAGCCTAAAAAATTTATTATTATAGTCACATAATTTTCAATAATCATGCAAAATGAACTGCATTGTTTATACCAAAAAAGAAATATTTTTACAGCCAGGTATCGATGTGTATGAAAGTGTGTAGAACATTTCATTTTGCTTAAATTTCAAATTAGTTTTGTAATAAATAAAGAGTTTATAAAGAAATGTTTCGAATTTCTCAATATAAAGAGAAAAAAATTGCAGTAAAATATTTATTTATTTATTTCTGCAGTCAAGTACTACTATGACAACAGAAGATAAGAAAAAAAAGTTTGGCTCCTTTTAAAATTTTAAGACTTCAGTGTTCTTTTATGAAAATTGTAAAATTGTAAAAAAAATAAGTATTTTTTTCCGTCTTTTGCAGCCACAGCCAAATTTAAATGAAAAAATATATATTATTTTAATTAGATCGCTTTATTTCAATATTATAAATTTTAATATTTGAAATCTACGATATCTTCCGATGGTTGGCGAACAGAGAACAAGGGATGTAGTCTTTGATATAAATTAAAGAAAATAAAATTTGTTTCCAACTTATTTATGGTCAAAGTTTATTTTTTTATACGCCGCTTAGTTTTGTTTAGCGTAGACTATAAGCAGAAGAATTATACTAATTTTTTGAAGCCACGAGCTCTCACATTCAAAATGAACAGTACGCTTCATTTTGTCTATAATATATATATATATATATGTGTAATAAGCGAGACAACAGCCTCTATGTTATCCCGCCAGATGTCGCTCGCAGGAACAGGAATGTATTGGAACTTTCTCGATGTAAATGAAGAGAGTCAGTTGATATTGTTTCTAGAGGAAACTGGTAACCTTAGTGGTTAAGATTCTGAGTGAATCTGTTATTCGTTAATTAATGTTTGTTTATAAGTGAAACTGGTTGTTTTTAGGTAAAACTTGGAACCTGTGTGGTTCGAACCTAAGTGGTTAGAGTCTATATGACTCATGTTATTATTGAAGAATAAATATTATTGTTATTGTTATTGATGATATGGTTGATTGAATTAGTTCATGATAACCAACATCATTGCATTATGGTGTAGTTTGAAGTAACTCGGCATATATACCTGACACGCACGCACGCACACACACACACACACAGATATATATATATACTTAAAATAATAAAGTAAAAAAATAAAATTTCTCTACACAAACTCTCTTTTTCGAAGAAAAAGTATGGACTTTCATGAACCTTAAACCTAAAATAAGGACTTTTCAGATTGCTTAAATCTGGTGCTATTAAATTAAGTTGTATTAAGCACTTTTAAGGCAAGTACGCACCTCGCTGTTGTTTATAGAAATTCTAAATTCAATTTTTATAATTTAATTTTAAATAAAAAATATTGTATTTTTGCAGGGCGTTCACCTCCCAACGAGATCATTTAGGTTCGAATCCCAGTCGTAGCTGGTGTGGAATTCTGCTCTCCGCTCGCACCAACCACAGAGCTGATGCAAAATACCCTCAGTGGTAGACGGATCAAAGAAACCCCTAGCCTTCGGGCTAAACGTGGGAGGTTCTAGTGGCTTTACTCTCCATTATGTAATACAAAAGCTAGTTAGTCCCATCTAAAAGTAGTCCAAGAAGACTAGTTTGTCGCAATGCTTGACCCAGGAGTTCTCTTGTCTTCTGGGTTAGGGCATAAGCTCAGAATCCGGTCAGCTGTTCAACGCGGGTATGGAATAAAATTGATGCGGAAGTCATCAGTTTTGGAGGCTCAGGCACAGAAATACAAAGAGCGAAAGTAAGAAGTCCCGATCGCGAAGTGATCCGAAAAGATTTGCGAATTTGAAAAGAAATTACGAGCAGGCCCAGATGCCCTCTAGTAAAATGAAGAAGTATAACTTTAAAACCAACATTTTATTAATTATGTATAACGTTTATAAAGATCAGTTTGTCTTTTTTTTCTTCTAGGGTTTGAAAGTACAGAGTAAAAACTTTAAGAACATTAAAAGCTATCTGTTCCCTGCTGATTATAAAATAATATCTGTGACAGATTCAAAGAAAAAATGCTTAATTTTTAGATTCATTTTCGTTTAGATTCAGAAAATTGTCCTTACCCAGCGACGTCTTTAGCAGGCAGAATTGAATCTAACAAACTTTGATGGTCTCCAGAGAAATCATATGGTAACTAGAGTGTAATAATAAATGGTAATTTAATAGAAATGGTAATTTAATAGAATACAATGTTATTTGATAATGAATCGAATAAGCAATATATATTTTCAAAGTTAGTGATATAATTAACAATTAATTCTTTTCCGAATAAATAATTCTATTAGATTCTTTCTGGTCTTTAAGAGGGAACACTTCTGTGATTGCTGAAAATAGCCGGCCTTTTTAAATTAATTTATAGAGAGCAGAATACAAAAAAGAAATTTTTTTTTGTTTTAATATGTTGCAATCAACTCAATTGTGAGGGTGGAATAATGCAATCAAAATTTTGAAAAGATGGAGTTCTCAAATCTTGTTGTCGATTGTTTTCTGGACACTACAAGAAAAATTTATGATCAGGCTATCGCTAAAAGTAATTTATTGTAGATCAAAATTTTAATCATTTTTCTGACTAACTAGAAAAGTAGAATTTTAAGTGGAAGTCAGTGCTGAATGAAAAAAAAAGTTTCAATCTTTTTATGACCGAAGTGAGCAAAATCTATACCGATATTATTATTAAAAGAAAATAATCAAGCAAAATTTTTATCACATTCCGATAAGCTAGAGTGCTCAGATCTTAACAGAAGAACTTAGCCTCCATACAATTAAAGTTTACATTGCTTCTTAACCGCATCAAGCACAATTTATCCCCAAAATATGGTCAAAAGACATTATGAATCATATCGCTCTTAATGCAAATTTTTTGAATACTTATCAAATATGAAGTCAAATTAGTATGCACAATTTAAATATAACAAATAAGAATATTCAATAAAAGTAAAAACAAAAATACTCTCGAAATCTAAATCGCCAGAAACAGAAAAGAGTTAAAAGATAAATAATAGTAATGCCTTAAGGTAGAGGGCAATCAAACTGGTTTTGACATTTCTCACTAATTATTCGCATAGTTCGATAGCTATTTTGTGTTTTTCACATTTAATATTAATTTGCGAGAGTTAATGTGTATACCTTCTTAGCTTCACTTTTAACATACAACATAATATCCTTTTCTTAGCTTCATTCATCATCAGTGTATTCATCATTTTCATTCATCAATGCACTGTTGTCTAACCTCATCATCTATGCTCCTACAAAAATTATCAACGCACTGCTTTCCCTATCCCCTTATACCTATTTCTAACCTTATTGAACAACAAATAAGAATAATACATTTAAGGGACTCGTAAATCATCTTTTTTTTCCTTTGTCCATTTCATTGTAATCTATGCTTTCAATATGACATGCTAGCATAGTGTAACTATAAACATCATGTATATAAAATGTATCATATATTAATAATATAACGAAATAAAAATAAATGTTACAAATAATGGCCCTGGAAGAGCCTTAATTCTTTATAACAAATTTTTTATATAGTTAAAATAATTAATACGCTTAAGAAAAAATTTAGAAAGTTAGAAACACAAATCAAGCAAAAAAAAGAAGAATTTCTCAAGTTATGTATGTTAGCAAAAACAGCAACAATAAAAGGCAAATTAAGAAAATAACATTTAAAATAATAATGAGTCAAAATGGAAAGCGCGAAAACCAATTTGTCTAAAACAATTTAGAAAGTTAAAAACACAACTCAAGCAATTCTTCTTCTATTCAATTTTTATTCCTTCTTCTTCTTCTTTTCATTAAATTCTTCTTTTTTTGTTTGATTTGTGTTTCAAGCTTTCTAAATTGTTTAAATAAGACAAATTTTCAAGCAATTTTTTATTCCTCTTCTTTTTCTTTTCAAGAAATTCTTCTTTTTTTGTTTGATTTGTGTTTCTAACTTTCTAAATTGTTTAAATAAGACAAATTTGGTTTTAGCTGCTTTTAGCGCTTTTCCATTTTGACTTATTATTATTTTCCTTGTTATTTTCTTAATTTGCTTAAATCAGTTTCAATCTTCAATTGGATTCGCTTAAGAAAACTTATTTCAGTTTTAAAGATATTATTAAACTTATAAAATATGTCATTATTCATTGAATTGGTTGACATTAATTATAAGGAATACAACAACTTTTAACTAAATTTTAAAAATATATATTTTTGCGCGTTTTACCTCAACTAGAATTCCATGAATGCTTGAATCTCTGTTCAGCTGTGTGATTGCATCATAAACCTATAAATAAAAGCATAGTTTAAATAGCATTTTATAATTTACATTGAAACCATACTGATGTAAAGAAATAAATAACAAATAAAAAAATATTTGTCCCATTTTAAATCTTAATTTAATTGAACTATGATTTGCAGTTATAGTAAAGCCTGTTTAAAAATTATTAATGAATTACAAAAAAATAAAGTCAATATTGAGCACGAAAAAAATATCACAGTGCTAAAATAGCGTAAATAAAATAGAAATGCCATCAATGGATAATTGGTCTTAAAATAAAGATATGCATGATTATCAGAAAATTCTTAAGAGCCAATCAAACCTTATGTAAACATAGCATGTCTTAAGGTAATTTTGGACTTCCTCTTCCTTATCAGAAAAAAAGGCAACTCACAAACCCATTATTAAGATATTTTTCCAAAATTCAATAATTTTCGCTATTTTTCACAAGATTTTTAATGATAAAACAATTTAGCGTCCTAAGTAACTCGCTTAAACTCTTAAGTAATATTTGATGAGTTCCTAATATATTTCCCGTAAATAATGTATACTTCAATAAAGTAGTTAAACAAAAACAACTTCAGGACAATAAATATTCAAAAATTTTGATTGAAATTAAACTTTACTAAAATAGGAAAATATAACTTCATACAAGAAATTTTTAAACCTATCAAGAGTTTGTGACAGTATAATGACAACACAAGAAATATGTTTTTGTGTTTTGTGTCTATCTAGAAGAAATGAATGAAACTTGCTAACCCATCTGAAAACAATACTAAGGAACAGTTTAAAGTACCAAAAATTTCACCTTATTACGATATTACCTCAAGCCTTGCTGCAGGGAAACAATATCCTACTATTTAGCATGAATTCAAAAGCGAAATGGTAGAAGTTTATTGTTTTCAGAAAATGATAATTAAAAATACATATTAATGTGTAGATATTATAAAAATTCTCTAACGCTTACATATTTTAGAATAAATACACATTGTTATACAAATTGTTTTTTTTTATAAGAACGCTTATTATTTATGGTTTTAAATGTTGCATTTAATTAATAACAATATTTATGAAACAATATACTTACACAAGAATCATTATCTCCCGTATTTACTGCAACGGATTTTAAAGAAACACCAACTGCTTCTAAAGTCCCTCTTATTGCATTAGAAGGGATGCTAATACCCACTTCATTTACCTATATAATAAAATTATATTTAATTACAATAATTAGAAAAAATATAATAATTATAATTNTTTCGCAGCACGATACAAAAGCTTCAAAATGTTTTATAAAACATTTTTAAACTTTTATGCAAAGACGGTACTTTTAAGTCCTACTAAAATAATTTTTATATACACTGTAGGAAATTTCTTAGAAAGAATTATTAATTATAATTAATTATAATTATTAATTATAATAAACTTAGATAACAAAATTATATTATTTAGTAAAGATCATTACCAAATATTTATAAATTTTGTCAACAATATCTATTAAAAACTTACTTTTAAAACAGCAACTACAGGTTGAACGTCACCAAACTCTTTTCTTAAAGCACTCAGTTTACTTTTTATAGCGTCCATTGAAAATCTATTTAAAAAAAAAAGAGAAATTTTTCAGTTATTTCTTATTCATTTTTAAATAATAGCGCTCTTTATTTAAAAATATTAGGTAAAAACTAACGCACTATCAACATTTTTAATTTATAAATTTAAAAAAAAATAAAACTTAGTAATATCACAACAAAATATCAAAAAATATTTCACTTTGTTTCACCTACTACACTAAATACTACACAAATTAAAAAATTAGAGTCGAATATTTCTTTACGAGAGCAGTTGAAAAATTTGAATTGTTTCAATAATTCATTTATTTTAAAAGAATTTGTGACGAAAATTAGCTTAAAATGACTTTAATCACTTAAATTATTTAAAAGGCATATACTATTCATTATATGAGCGAAATTCTGTGAAATAAAATGTATCGAATTAAAATTCGGAAATTAAGTAAGTTAATCAAATTTTAAAAAGAACATCTGAAATGTTTTTCAAATCTGATACATAAAACTTGGCTATTATAGAAAGAGCCATTGTCATCCATTCACCTCCGAGAGCGTTTTCCGGTATTATTGCAGATAAAGCAGGGAAACAGATTTACAGGTAGTTTGCGCTGCAAATGTTACCTGTAAATGGAGAATACGAATTTTTGGGAAAATAATATGTTTCAGAAAAATGTGAAACTAATTTTATCCCTCCATAGGTTCGTCAACCTGGCATAGAGTAAGCAGGGAAACAGTTTTACAGGTCATTTTCACCGCAATTCTTATTAGTAAAAGGAAAGTACGAATTTTTTAGGGGAAAAAGCTTCCAAAAGTTGGGAATTGAGTTTGATACGCTAATTTTAATCCTCCATTATTTTACAGCAGGTCAATCGGAGTAGCGTAAGCAGGAAAACAGTTTTACAGGTCATTTTCACCGCAAATGTTATCAGTATAAAGAAAGTGCGAACTTTTTAGGGGGGGGGGATGATTGTGAATCGATTCTGATACGTTTATTTAATCTAAGCACTGTTGTATAGAAGATCAATCAAGTGTAATTCCCAAGTAAGGGAAATGGTTTTTCAGGTTATTTTCACTGCTCGTGCAATTCTATAACGAAGTTATAACTAAACTAAACAAAGTCTAAAATTTGGGCTTTAAAAAAAATAAAAAAATAAAAAAGTTAATTATCTTTTACTTACAAAATACTTAAAACGGCATTGCTATGATTAAAGACAAAAAAATACTGTTTTTTATCGTGTGATTTCTTTAATCATAGATATTACAGAAGAAAAACACCTTTTTTATCGATTGCATACAGTTTAATAATAATTAAAGAGTATAGTTTAAGTAACATTCTGAAAGCACTAACATTTAAAGTTCTTGAATATGCATAAGTCAGTTATATGCATAAAGCATTGTTTTTCCGACAAAATCATTAAATAAGACAGTTTCCAATGGGAAAATTAAATTCTGTAAAAAGCTTCCTGGTGTTGATACACAAGTTAAATGCGATTTCATCAAATTCACCTAAAATGTTTTTACTATAATTTGGTTTTACTTCAGTTTTGAATTAGTTTAAAAGAATACAGAAAAATTCTAAGAAAAAAAATATGAATGACATTATGATTCATTCAATGGTGCAGCCAAATCAAGTTTAACAAGTGGCAAATATCTTATATTCAGTAATGAAGAAATTTGAAGATTTATTTTTTAAAAAAAAACAGTAATTAATGTAAAATCTTAATTTGGATTTTTTTTAAATTAATAGAAAAATTTCGAAGATAAATATAAATGATATTATGTTTCACGTAATAATGAGACCAAATAAAGTTTAGCAGGTTATAGTTATCTAATCTGAAGTTGTATCTTTAGGTAGAAATCTACTAACTGAAAAATTTAAATAAAAACTACAATTATTGTAATATTTTCAATTTGGTATTACTTTAAATGATTATAGAAAAAATCATGAATGACGTAATGTTTCATGCATGATGCATCCAAATTAAGTTTAGGAAAATAAATTAGCTCACCTGAAGTCGTATCTATAACATAGAAATCAACAGATTGAAAATTAATTTAAATAAAAATACTCGTTTAATTTTAGCAACTTTTGCTACTGAACACAATTCAGGGCTATTCAGAAACTCCAAGGTCCTATTTTATTATCTTTTTATTTAAACATATCAAGATAATTTTATCAAAAACTACAGAAACGTAAGTTCAATAATCTGATCAAGTAGAACATTTTATCATATAACTTCCGCAAGCAGTTCTTAACACGTTTGAAGAAAATGTTAAAATATATCAGCATAATAGTAAAAATACATATCTTATCAGATAGGCTCATTGTTAAAACAGTGTATCACAGTGGCATCTAAAAACAGTTTTGAAGGACAAATATCAATGCAAATTTTTCACAAAAGTATCTAGTATCGATAATAAAAATTATCATCAATATACTTAAGATATTATATATCATGCTAATGACACACTTAGATCTTAACGTATGAAATTAGATTAAAATAAAATAATAAAGGCAAAGAAAGTATAAATGCTATTATAAATCAAATATAATTTATATAATCTAATATAAAAGAAAAATCTTAAGTTAGTATTCGAATTATGCCCTTCTTTCGGAATAGTGTTATAAGCAATTTGATATCAAGAAACTGTTTTAACGTTCTTTATTTTATTACAAAAGAAAAACTTAAAAATAAGAATTAGCAAAAATCAACTATTTTTTCCATAATCGTCTGCAAAATCCAAGATTATTTATTTAGAAAAAGAAACATTGAATATTTAATTCATTAAAATTATCTGGAAGATGAATAAGACATCTTTAACAAAAATGCATGCAGAGAATTATAAAAATATTAAATAAATGTTATCATATATTATTCGTCACTTATTATCAGGTTACGTTTTAAAATGAAACAAAAAAAATGGTTCTAATGTAAAGATTTTCAAGTTAAAAAACAGTTGCCTAACACCCAATTTTTCTTCGGTGCAAATAATGCATATTTTCGTTATGTTAACGATAGAAAACCCATGCACGTTCTTAATTTGCTTGAATTTTGATTCCTCGGTGGACTGACCGTAAGACACGAATTCTAATAAATTACCTAAGTCGAGCCTCATTGGCAACCCGCAAAGGGGCCGAGAGTGCTCGGTATCGGTCCTCGTTAAATTGTTCTACCGTCATGTTCCTACGTTTGCGCGCCGGTCGCAGGGCTACCAAAGCAGACGAGTCATCCAGTCTGTAAAGGATCAAAATTGTGATGAAATGCGTTAGGATCATGCTCAGGGATGTTTCTTAGACCATCACCAATAGTCCATTGTTTAGCGACGCAATAAATGACGTGTGACGTAAATAAAATACTACTTGATATAATTCATAAAACGTTTTTAACACTAGGAAGTCAGATGCGGCTCCTTTCCATTTTTAAAATACAAACTATTTTTTTTAAAACTAATTAATTTGAAACTTTTAGCCATAAAAATGATACTAAGATAGTTTGCGATTTCTATAATAATTTGTTTATAAGTTGTTTTACGTTCTACCTTACTTTTAAAAAGTTAATAAATATTCACATAATATAATAAGCTCTTTTTTAATTAAAATGCAATGATAAGTTTGTTCATTATTATTCCAGAGTCTACATCTTTAGACCTTTAACTCAGAAAAAAGACATCAGAAATGTACATTATTAAAATCCTAAATAAAATATTTTTAACTTACATTAATACAAAATAATGAAAAAAGTGTGAAAAATATGCTTAAAAAAATCTGCGTCAAAGGGTAAACAGGACGTTATAACGTGGGAGAAACCTTTCATAGAAAAATTCATTTTCACCCACATAAGTTATTAAATGTGAGCTCACTCGCTTCCTACACCGATTTTACCAAATTAACAGATTTTTTTTTTAAAATTAATTATGCATGCATTTAAAAATAAATAAAAAAAACTTCTTTTTTTAATTTTTTGAAAGAATGAGGTATTTCAACTTTCCCTGTACATTTTTTTCCAGAAGCTTTGGATTTCTTATTGTTAGCTTAAAAAATATAACCTTTGCAAATCAATTTTACAATGTGTTTGACCCAGTGCTGGATGTACAGTGCACAAAAGAAAAAATGGACAACCCTGAATAACTTTTGATCTAATGATCGGCTATTTGCGTTCCAGGACTCAATCTTAATGGTTCGAGCGGGTGACCTCAAATATGCTAATAAATTAGAACAGACGAAATTTTAAGTAATGAAATTAGACACAAAAAAGTACTTTCTCTAAATAAACATAACTTTTTTTCGACGGATTAGGATTCCTGATCCTCAAAAAATAGGGAGTAGCCGCAATCCGGGAAATATGGTCCCAATACTTTGGTCAGGAGAGCGGTAAAAAGTTTTCACCCCTTTCTGTTAATTTTACTTTTTTGCACATTTTGCCAGAACTCGGGGACTTTATAAGCGAATTCGAAAAATTTTTGTACACAGTTATAAAATTTGTTCATCCGTAGATAATTTTTAGTAAATATTTATTATTTTTTATTACTTTATTTAATAATAGTCGAAAAAAATTGGATTGTAAGGTATACAAATTTTTACATCATTTTAGAGAAGGCAATTTTAAATGGCAAAATAGGAAATTTGAGCGAAATTGGTCAAACAGTTTTTAAGAAATCGAATTTTTAAAAAGTAATTTTTTTTTTTTAAGAAAATAAATAAATTATGTGTCAATTTATACCATCAAAACCTTAATAATTTATATCATCAAAATCTAAACGTTCTATAAATCTATATGTTCTTAAAATTTAATATCAAAGCTTTTCAAAAAGCATAAGAATCCTTGTACACAATATATAAAATCATAAATGTCATAAAAATCCAAAAGAAAACATGAATAAAAAACATACTCTAGGAACTTTTATTAAAACATACAGAATTAGATATAATCGATGTTGTTTTGCATGGGATACATTAAAAAGATATTCACATTCTTAACGCATCCCAACATCAACTTTAATAACATTTTTATTATAGATAAATGTGAATAATACTAATTACGCATTTTTTCCTAATCTTTTTTAAATTATAATTTAGAAAACAACTATATAAAATAGCAAGATATAAAATATCTGTTACATTTCTTTTTAAAACTATATAAAAAGTATGAAAAATTATTATTTACTCACTAGAATGAAAAAGAGACATCATGAAAAATTAATAATTTTACTTCTGACTGAACGAAAGAAAGAAAATAGATAAACTCTGGTTTATACAATTTTACTATAGTCAGTGTTGTTAATAGATGATGATAAATCTAATACATTACTAGTATCTACATACCAATAGTTCAACAACCTGATATGATTATGATTCTGTGTCAAACTCAAAGTAAAATGTATACATGAACATGTATTTAACGTAACAAAATCATATAGCGCTAGATACTAAGTCTGAGGCAAAAATAAAAGGGAAGAGAAGAATAATAAAACAAAATAGTAGAAAAATCAAGAGGATACCTAGAAGTTTAATCTAGTTATAAAAATAAAATCATTAGCAAAATAATTTTATTTTGCCAATAGCAAAATCTGAAGATAAATTTATCACTTACCTTCTAATTAAATTCGGTCTGTAATAACAAAATTCTGTTATTTTGATACCTATTCCCTTATTGTGTAACAGCAAAAATTTAGTCAAAAACTGAATCCTAAAAAATTTCTTAAATCTAAGAGTCATTTTAAAAAAGGTCGTTTTTCCTTTTTAAATTAGTATATTTTATATCCATTAGGTATGAAATTTGCTTCTAGCACGAAATCAAATATGATATGAAGAAATCAAATATGATCACTTCACTCATATTTTAAAAATATATATCTATTATATTTTTTTCGTGATTCTAATCAGTGAAGCTACTGAAGCAAATTGTTCCAAATATCAAAGGGATTCATGTCAGACCATGAGAAATAATTTCCTGGAATTGAAAAATACATGTATATGAGTTATTCCATGTCAGATCAATCACTTTTTGGTAAATCCATTTTTGGTTTTGATGAAATTTGGTGTAAAAAACACTTATGGTAATTTCTGCTGTGTCGAAATCATTAACAAGCAAAAATTGTATACTTGAGTAGCAGGGTGTTAGGGCAATAATACATATAATTTACTTTTTTTTATATATTATTATTTTTATTTTGGAGTGGGTGTTATATTTCTACCTAACCATGGACTGAAATGTCCTTTGCTATAGCACCTGAATTTTAACTCAACTATGAGAAAGAAAAAAGCTAACATGTATGCAAGTCTTGCAATTTTTTATTAAAATTTTAAACTTGGTAGAATAGCTTTGTCATTTGAGTTCTTCACACTAAATTTCATCAAAGCAAAAATGGGTTAGTCAAAATGTGATTGATCTTACATGCTCAGATATTATTAATCAAAAAATAAAAAGAGAAAACAAAGGTAACAATGACATTTTTTTAGGAGAAAAAATACCAGGAAATTTTGAATTTATTTAGCAAAAAAAAAAAGAGGCTCCCTGTTTACATTCACAAAGCTGTTCATTTTTATCTGATTGAAAACTTTAATATATACAATACTTTAATAATATACAAATATCAAAATATACAAATAAGAAAATACACAGTTATTTCATATTCCTACATTTTTGAAGTAAAAGAAGTTTTCAATCAGACAATATCTTACCGCTTCAGTTTCTTAGGATAATTTATTTAATATTCCTTTTTATTACGTTATTACAAAACTGAAATCTTTTTTTTTTTTAATGTTTACAATTTTCTAAAGTATTACATATATTTTTCATTATTTTCTCATAGTCTTTGGTGCTTGATAAAAAATTTCATCATATTTGATCCAACAGTTTTTGTAGCAGATATTTGTTCAAAATATTTTGAGTTATTTTTACATCTTTCTGTTTGCACATTTACTGCATTCCTTAATTTTACGAGCTTCCTAGTTACGAGTAAAAAAAATTTCCTAGTTACGAGTAAAAAAAAAAAGCGACTCTGTTCTGCTCTGCCAAACCTTTTTTAAAGCAAAAACTTCTACATATTAATTTGGATCATTAATAATAAAAAAATAGCTTTTAGCCTTTAGTTAAAACTGACAATGACAACAAAAAAAAATGAATAAAAATTTTATAAATACAATTTTTTCTCATAACGATGATACAATACGTGCAATTTAATTAGATTGTAGAAAATATGGTGAAAAATAAGAAAGAAAATTTCCTATTTTCTTACAGTTAAAACTTAATGCTTAAAAATAACTTATTAAAGTGTTCATAAATTTCGTAGCTTAACTTTTAGCTTCACTATCTCTTTGGCAGAAAAAAAAAACGACATTAATTTACATTTAAAGTAAATGTAAAAAATATTATGCAATAACTAAAAAAAACTAATTGATGTGATTTTTGTTTTTATTTATATTCTTAAAACAGTTAATTCAAAGAAGCTGCACCATTGTTATTTTAAAAAATTGCGATAATGTTTCTTTTTTTTTTTTAAATATTTCAAAACACTCTCAAGAATATGCAATGTCTAATAAGTTTTAGAATGATAATTACTCTTCTCACTGAAAAAAAACACATCTTCATAGTACATTTCACATTATTCAAAAAATAATTAAATTAAAATGTCAAATCTGTTGTGTCCCATTGATAGAACCAAAAAAAGATTCAAAAAGTCCATTTTTCAAAATATATACTCATGCAAATACTATACAATACATATTTAAATTTTTTAAGAGTATCCGCATTGCTTAACAAAAGCAATAAGAAATTACTGACTAGATTTAATACTTAATTGAATGCGGTAGTTCATTTAAAATTTCTTTTATTTATGACAGTAAACGGGTTATTTTAACATATGTTATATTTAGACAATTAGTTATTAATTATTATTATGAATGTTAATACAAGAACGCTAATTAATACGAAACACAAAAAATACCTTTTGCAATTGTTTTCAATAACTGATGAATTTACTTTCCCAGATCAATTTATTTTAATTATAATTGACTCAATTGCCTGTATCAATCGGCAGGGCTTCGATACAGTGTGAATATTAAAATCTGAAATCACATGTTAGACGCGTGTTTGACAGAGATAAATAAACAAAATTCATCTAATTTGATTGGTTTAGTGAATTGGGTAAAAGTTGAAGTAAGAAGAAATTCTTCGTGGGAATTTAGAAATTTTATCTCTCGGCTCCCCTGATTTAAACTTTACTGAAAAATAAAGAAATTAAATTAAAATGCTGAATCGAAATAAAAATTATGCAAATAAATGTCAATTTGAGTTGCTTTCAAACAAAATCTTTTAACTCTTATATATATTCAATAACTTCGCTTAATTAACTGTAACTTTAAGCAATCACAATCTGAACCGGCTTACTTGCTTGATGCTCCAGTTTTGGAATTTTATGATGAGCTGTCAAAAGTATATACATTAATTGTAGTACTTGATAAATAAATTGACAAAAATGGATGCAACAGCAAAATATAAAAACAATGTCAAAGCGCCGTCTCTTTATAAGAGACCGATGTGGTTTGCACGGATGTCTCCGGAAAAGCAAGATACACTTTTAAAAATGTTGATTCTCTCCATTGCATCCGTGTTATCATTTTCAAATCGTCTGTATTCTGTCATTAGATTTGAGAGTGTTATTCATGAATTCGATCCGTACTTCAACTACCGAACAACTAAATACTTAACTGAAAATGGTTTTTATAATTTTCATAATTGGTTCGATGATAGAGCTTGGTATCCTCTGGGGAGGATCATAGGTGGTACCATCTATCCAGGTCTCATGATGACATCTGCAGTGATACACCATGTTCTTCAGCTCTTGAATATAACTGTTGACATTCGTAATGTCTGTGTTTTTTTGGCTCCATTGTTTTCAAGCTTTACCACTATCATTACTTACCTTCTTACCAAAGAACTGTCTGATGCAGGATCTGGTTTGATAGCTGCTGCTATGATATCAATTGTTCCTGGTTATATTTCAAGGTCAGTAGCTGGTTCATATGATAATGAAGGTATAGCAATTTTCTGCATGCTTCTGACATACTACCTTTGGATAAAAGCCGTTAAAACCGGTTCTGTGTATACATCTGCTATGTGCAGTGTGGCTTACTTCTATATGGTTTCATCTTGGGGTGGTTATGTGTTCTTAATAAATTTAATTCCATTACATGTTTTGGTGCTAATGGTCACAGGTCGCTTCTCCCATCGAGTCTATATAGCATATAGTGTCTTGTATTGTTTAGGCACTTTACTATCAATGCAGATATCTTTTGTGGGTTTCCAACCTGTACAATCAAGTGAACATATGGCTGCTTTGGGTGTATTTGGCTTATGTCAACTTCATGCATTTGCTGATTATATAAGATCTCGTTTGAAACGTGAAGATGCTGAACTTTTATTTAAAGCTACTTTTACACTATGTGCTGTAATTGTAGTTATTGTTGGTGCTGTGCTGACTGCTACTGGTAAAATTTCCCCATGGACTGGTCGATTTTACTCCCTTCTTGATCCTTCTTATGCCAAAAATAACATTCCTATCATAGCTTCTGTTTCTGAACATCAGCCTACATCATGGTCCAGTTTTTACTTTGATCTCCAGTTATTAGTCTTCCTATTTCCTGTTGGACTTTATTACTGTTTCACTAAACTGACGGATGTTAATATTTTCATAATTCTGTATGGCATCACCAGCATTTACTTTGCTGGTGTCATGGTTCGGTTGATGCTGGTTTTAGCTCCGGTAATGTGCATCTTATCTGGAATTGGTGTTTCCTCTATTCTTACTACTTACTGTAAGCAAATTGATGTTCCTCAACCAGAAAAAAAATTGAAACGTCACGACAATACATATTTCAAGCGAAAAGAAGTTTCGGTTTCATTTATTTGCATGATGCTCGTTTTTCTATATTCCTATGTCAGACATTGTACATGGGTAACTACGGAAGCATATTCATCTCCATCTATAGTTCTTGCTGCTCGAAGCCACGATGGATCCAGAATTATATTTGATGATTTCCGTGAGGCTTATTACTGGCTACGTCACAATACACCTGAAGATGCAAAGGTTATGTCCTGGTGGGATTATGGGTATCAAATCACAGCCATGGCAAATCGCACTATATTAGTTGATAATAACACCTGGAACAACACTCATATATCTAGAGTTGGTCAAGCTATGGCTTCCACTGAAGATAAAGCCTATGAAATCATGAGAGAACTGGATGTCAACTACGTTCTTGTAATTTTCGGCGGTTTGACCGGTTATTCATCAGATGATATAAATAAGTTCTTGTGGATGGTTAGAATTGGTGGTAGTACAGAACGTGGTAAACACATTAAAGAAAATGATTATTATACAAAATCTGGAGAGTTTAGAGTGGATAAAGAAGGATCCAAAACACTTCTCGAATGCTTGATGTACAAGTTATGCTACTATCGATTTGGTTCTGTGTATACAGAAGCTGGTAAACCTCCCGGCTATGATCGTGTACGAAATGCTGAAATAGGTAATAAAGATTTTGAGTTGGATGTTTTGGAAGAAGTTTATACCACTGAACATTGGCTTGTTAGAATTTATAAAGTCAAAGATCTGCCAAACAGAGGAACATGAGATTTATTTGACTTTATTTCATTTTTTCAATTTCAATACTTAAATCCATCTGTGAACAAATTTTGGGGAAATTATTATAATTTTTTTTCTTATTTTCATACTTAATTTTCTTATTTTCATACTTAATTAAATTAACTGACTTGGTATTGTTATGGTTTGTTAAGTTAATATCAATATTCTTTATGTACATCTTAGTAAATTAATATTTTTGTGACTTCACTGATTTTTAAAACAGTGTTATTAAGACATTGTAATAAGCTGGTGTTTTCCAGTATGTTAACTGTTTGTAAAACAGATTGATGTGTCTTCTGCAACTTGCACAAATTGCTTGAAACCACTGTGTTCATGAAACATGGGTGTTATATCTTTGTTTTATTTGCTTTTTTTACACAGTATTGTGTAAATTATATTGTCAACAATTTAAAATAGACTATCAGCAGAAGATTATGTGTCTTTTGAAATAACTCTTACCATTAATTTACGTATTTTTATTATTTTTTAAGCTATTATCTACTTAAATATAAGACTTTATTGAGTTTATTGTTATATGAATAAGTTATTTTATGTTAACTTGACAAACTAATGCTATGGAGATGTTTAATGATATTATAGATATATAATTAATCATTTCTCTCTAAAAAAAAATTTAACTGAGTTTTATAAAGTATTCTCAGAAAATTTTTCTAGCTGTACCACTATGAAAAACTGCTATGATTTCAACAAAAAAAACTTTTTTCAAATGCACAGTAAATAGGCAGAAAAATGCAGTGTATTGATAAGCAATAGTACCAAATTTTGCGTGTTATAATTTTCAGTGCGTTATTGGAAATCATAGCATAAAAATTTTAGTAACATTTGGTTTGTAGTTCTTAAACAGATGGCAAAAATTTCCATATTGGTACCTGCATCAGAATGGTCCCCAAAATTTTAGCAATTGCATGCAATAACTAAAAGAACATCTCAGAATAGGACTAAATTGGAGGTTTAACTGGTAGCCTTTTCCAGCAGACCACTTATTTAATTTTTAAAATCTATTTTAAATGCAGGGCACTTAGTAAATTGTAAATTTCAATTGGCTTAAACATTTCTTGATATGGAAATATCCTCAACATTTGTAACAAAAAGGCATTATAAGTAAAAAGCACTCTATACAAAAAATTAAAAAAAGTATGATTTATTTTAATTTACAGCAAAAATTATTTTGGTACTTGAAATATTTTGAAATAAAAAGTTAAGATAATAGTTTTAAACATTGTTAATAATTAAATGTATCTACTTCATTAATGTTATACATTATTTTACGTAAGTTAGAATTTGTTGCAATATTGTTTATATATTTCTGATATTTTTGAAGAAAAAAAAATTTGGAATTTAATTAACAATACCTTGGACCAATTATTACTTAATATTTGTAATTAAGCAGATGTATTTTTTAAATGTGACATGTTTCTTGAAAAGCATGAAAGTAATATTGTTATGAAAAGAGAAATAAAAATTTCTTTATCCATTTCATAGTCTATTAATTATTTAATAAATATATTTGTAAGAAAAGGTTCATCTGGAATTGTTTTGAAAAGACTTTTAAAACTAATTTAATAGAATTTTTATCCCAAAGTATGTTTTCTTTATTATGGCATGCAACTATAAATCCTATGTTTAAAGTATTAAAAACAAATGTTGTTTTTTTCTCTTTCTTTCAGTTTTAAATTAGAACTTTCCATTATTACTTTTTTTAAAAATAAAACATGCATGTACAGTCATGAGTTTCATTAATATAATTGGAAAAAAAAATTCTGTGTAAGATACTGTTTCATAAATATATCTGAAATTACATTATAATGCATCATAAATGTTTATATATAATAGATAAATATATTATGTTCCTATCGGATCATTTTAGTTATATTGCTCTTTTTATAAGTAATATTTATATTTTTTGGATCTTTCTCATGAAAAAATTGCTTTTTGCAGCTGCTGAGCAATCAATAAAATAAATAATAAATGATGTGTCCAATAAACTCCATTCAAAATTTATGGTGGAAAGATTCATGTGAAAGGAGAGTTCTTTGACTGCTCATATATTTCAAAGTTGTAAAGCTTACATTAAATGTATTTTGCCTCCCCAAATATTTTAAAAAAAAGTTCTTAAAAACTACAAAAAGTTTAAGTAAATTTTGACACATATTTATATTATTCTTATTATTAAATTAACTTTTTATAGCCATAGATTGTTGAGAGTATGAATTTTTCTAAAAAGCATAATTTAATCCTAGCAATTAAAAAAGTTGCTATTAAATTTAAAGGGCCTATATCGATATCAGTCCTCAACTCATTAGGTTCAAGGAAAAAGTAGCTACTAAGATATTAGGGGCCTACCGGTCACTAACTAAACATTTGATCAATAATTTAAAAAATTCTGAAAATTCAGTAGTCTAGAATTAGATTTTGTAAACCACTTAGAGAAAATAATCTAGCGGAGCTCAGAAGAATTCACGAACAATAATAAACAAAATACTTTCAGCTTGCAAGCGAACTTAGTTTGTGCATAAAAAAGTAAGGATTATGTAAGAAAAAAACTGTACTTATATATATATATATATACATATATAATTAAACTAAAGAGTTTTCAAAAAGCCTCTCTCATCTAGAGTTTTAATGTGACACTAAGTTTTCATAGTAAAATAATCCCTTTAAAAGTCAATTTCGTTGAATAGTGTAATCTCTTAGATTTTGAAAATTAAGAAACACATCACACTAATAAAACAATTTATTTAAACACAAATATCAAAGCAGATTTTAAGCATTACATAGTGTAAAAAGCGTTGATGTAAAATATTAACATTCTAAACATGATTGATTTATTAAATATAAAGCAGATTATGAATCCAAATACTCATGAAGTTTTAATTCATTGCAGGCCTCTTAAATTCTTTATAAAGGGCTAGGTGAAATTCCATCTTTTAAAATGCTACATAATAGATAAAAAGCATATATGTATTAAAAATTGTAATTAAGTCAAATTCTTGACATTTACATTTGTAGACAATTAAAAGGAATTACCCATTTCATAATGTGAAAAGAATATTCAAATAATTTTTTTTTTTAAATGAGATTCAAGTTTTTTTGGGAAAAAATTTTTTTTAGATAAATTTTTGTTCAACATGTTTAATTATTCGTAAAATCTAAAATATATGTACTGGTGCTATGTATAAAAATAAATGTTGTAAGAAGAAAATATGCAGAAATAAATAATTTCCAACAGTCTTACAATTAATCTTATATTTTTTATGAATCCTATTATAGATTTATAAAAATATATCCAATTTGCAGTTTATAATGCCTTAATTTCTATTTTATAATTAAATGTAATAATTATTCTTTAAAGACTAAAATTTAAAATGTGTGATACACTATATTATTTATAAATCTGTCTGAAAAATGGGTGTAAAAAAGTTTTAATTTTTCAATAAAAAAAGTTATATAGTTATAATCTTTTTCTAAATAGAATGAAATTAATAACTCGTAAAATATTTTGCACATTTTTTCATTTCTTACTTGTGTGAATTGTTCTTATTAGTGTTAGCTAAAATGAGTTCATAATGTGCACATGTTTTACAATAGAAAAACAACAGCAAAACATTAAAAGTTCTTATATAATTTTATAAAAAGTTTAAACAAATATAATACTGATTGACTAATAATAAATTATAATATACAAAAACCACATTATAATTTACAAGTAGTATAAATTTCAAAGTTTTAAGTACAAACTATGATAGTTGATCTAAATTACTCAAAACAACTGCTCCCACTCATTACATTATTTCTGGAAAAAAATACAACATTGAGTTATATGCAAATTTTAGAAGAAAATCACATACATTATAAACGAGAAATCTTTGCATGTACTTTCCAAATATTTTTATATGCATATTGTATTTTCCGCTATCCTTAACAAACATTAAAAATCAAACAATTGATTATGCTATTGTTTAGTCAATTGTCTGTAATACTTTTCTTGAACAGAGAAATGTTGAAATAGCATTATATTAAAACTAGGCTTGACCAGTTATCGATTGTTCTGTTTAAATGGTAAAAAAGCAAATTATGCAAAATTTTCACAACATATTCGCTGATACTCCCTATTTCCAAACTTCAGGTGTTGTAATTTAATCTATGTTGAACGATACAATTTTTTTTAAAAAAATTTTTCACAATTAAAATTATAGGGCACAAATATAAAAATAAACATATCCAACAAATAAACTAATTAATAATATAATACGAGACAGTAAATAAACATTAGAGATATTCTTCATAATTGAAGAGCTTAGTGGAAGAAGATATAAAATGTCATTATAAAATAAAGCGGAAATATAAGTTACAGACTGTATTTGGTGAACTGTTTTCTTAAAAGTTTTCTAAGATATTGATATACTTTGTAAATTCAATACAATGTTATTTAGAGCCTTCTTCAAGTAGGTTCTTTAACCTAGATCAATCACTTATTACATAACATTAAGCTTATTATTTGGTTTGTTTTGGTTAGCTGTCAATATAGATTTTAAATGTGTGGTAAACTTCCTCCCGATGTCGACATACTTTCTATGCTTCATTTTTCTTAATTTACCACAACGAGTATTCTTCATCTAGGCTTTTCGAAGTAGATGCACCGTTTTATAGGTCGGTATAATGTAATGAGGGGGAAAAAATACTAAACCTTTATAACTTAAGGTTAAGCATTTTTTTAAAAACTCAACTCATAAACAAAATTGTAAATCACAGTGCCAGTTGTGTGGAAATAATTGTGCAGACAGTTTAAGTAGATATCTAAACAAGGATATTTTTTTAATATAATCCCTTGTTTTTTATTTTTTTTATGTCAAATTAGTTTATTTATTATATTTAGATTAATAAAATATTAAATAAAAGTTGACTATGATATAAGATCTCTAGAATAACAAAAAATTCATAAATAGATCAACGATTTTCTTTGCTATTGTTAGATTAAATTAATTGTAAATGATTCTTTAAATTTCAAATTAAGCTTTCTTAAAAGAATTTAAAATGTCTATATCATTGTCTGTCAGCAATTCATCTTTAATTTTAATATCCAAATATTTTATATTGAATCTGTTACAATCAGATTGAACAGTTATCTAAATTTTCAAAATTAAAATTAGAAAAGATATTTTTTCTAAATAAATGCATAAGTGTGATGTAAGCAACAAGAATGCGGACATTGAAAAAAAAATTATTCTTAAAATAAGCTCTCAGTTTCTCTGCTGTTGTTTAAAGTTGCCAAGCTTTTTCCATCATTGTGACAAAATATTCATCTAAGTCGATAGAAGCACTGACACCAGCATAATAATCAATAAATTCTTGCTTAAACACCTAAAATAAGAAATACATTTCAGTTTTAAACATTTCTTGGTTAAAAAATATTCTATAAATGTAGAATTCAACTTCTCAAGAAAGTAGATTCGACTATAACATGCCTAACTATATGTATATTTTTTAACTTTCTTAAACAGGGTGTGTAGCCAAATATTTTTAACAAAAAATTAGCACATTTTAAGCACTAAAATATTTTAAGTACTTTTTTATATAAAAAATTATAATTCTTAGATTTTTTCATATTGTTTAAAGTTTTTCATCGATACACTAACATATAATAATTGATGAGACACTCAAAGTTTTTGACATTGAACACCCAATCATATAACAATAAACTTATAACTTGTCTCGATTACTTGGGTTACTGCATGCAATAATTGAATAAAATTTCGTACGCCTTGCTTAAACATTTATCCAGATAGGGACAGTTTTATAAAAAAAACTAATCTTTTTGTCTTGAGTTTTTTTTTTTTTATATAACTCTAAAACTATTCAATAAAATAAAAATAGGAGATTTTTAATTAATAACTAAATTATCACTTTAAAATTTGAAAAAGTTTGTTAAAAATTGTACTAGATGTGAGCATTTAAATTAGTACTTTCACACTGCGTATGTGTGGAAAAACATTTTTTTTTCTCCATAATTTTTTAGAGAATCGTGTTTGGTAACTAACGAAAAAGTTCGATTTGAATATCTTGAAAATTTAAAAAGTTTCAGACAAAGAAAAGAACAAGCACTTTTTATAAACACCCTATGAAAAAAGCACCTTTAAAGCCTTTTAAAAAACGAAAATCAAAAATAAGCACTTTTGAAAAAAGCTAACCCCCCTGTTAAGCATTTTAATATATTACGTGATTAAAGCGACAAAATTTTAATGTCGTATAAATTATGCCTTATTAAGAAAAATATGAAGGGAAAAAAAGAAAGAAAAAGCTAAAGAAAAATCATTCGAGACTTTCAAGGAGACAAACTAATCTATCTAAAAATAATAAAAAAATTTCCTTTAAAAAAATTTCCCTTAAATTGTGGGAATTAAAGTTCTATTTATGTTGTTGCGAATAATAGAACTAGGTACTCGAATATATTACTTTTTGGCGAATAATAATAACGCCATTTCTAAAAAAAAAAAAAAAGAAAGAAATTAGTTTTATATATTCCTAAGTAGTTTTAGTTGTACGTCCCAAAATGCAAAATCTAAAATTAATTAATTTAATGGAAAGAAAATCGAACTATCGACCTTTCAGCGTTTGACCAAACTATCGATCGATCAATGCTTTACTAATTGGGCTTATTTACGAAACTGATAAATCCAGATCCGAAGAAGAAAAAAATCTATTAAAATATTTAAGTTATGCTTTTCGAACGAAAATGAACGCAACTTAGCACGAGAAAATCAAATCAGATAAAAAGTTATTCAGCGTGATCCTAGATTTTTATTTTTTTTTTAATGTAGTTTTTTAGCCAAAACTCGGACACAACTTTTTGCAATTATGTTTTATTTTGATTCTCTGCCTTCTGACCTTCTTTATTTAATGGCGCTTATACATGGAACTTATTTTCTACACGCAAAATACTGGAACATAGATAATGGGAACTCATCAATTTTTATTTATTTATTTTGGGACAAACATTTTTTTCTTTTCTTTTGGGAGTTCTAGCTGTATACTAAAGTAAATTTTCATCGTTTGCATGACACCAAGTATTGTAAATGTAAAATGTGGGATTGATATACATATAACTAGAATGCATTATTTTGGTATCTAGGTACCAAAACGAAATTCTTTGTTTTGAACTTATATACATTGTATCTAATGTAATACATTGTATCTAATGTAATACATTGTATCTAATGTAAACTTTTTCTTTTCTTATCCAGCAAATGATATATATTAACCAGCAAATGATATATATTAACCAGCAAACGATATATATCTAACGTATATATCGTTTATATTTTATAAGATGAAATAATATTCATTTGTATCCAGGTTAACCTACAGTGTCCGGAATTTCTTTATTTATTAGATAACAAATTTATATTTTTGAATATTCTTTGTTTCATTTTATTCATTGAAATTTTTCTATTGAACTTAGTAGTCGAATTTTAACTTTAAAAGTACATTTTTAAAACTTTATAAAAAAGTATTAAAAATACTTGCAATCTTAAAGGTAGGTAACTAAGTTCAATAAAGTACTTTTTAGCAAATGAAATGAAACAAAAAATATTTAAAAACATTTACTAGTTACTTTAAGAATAAGGAAATTCAGAGTAATCTCAGGATATGTTTCCCATGTCTTTTTAACTTTCCTGATAAACAGCTTTTCTAAAATTTTATTAGTTCTGGCGAATTCCAAAGGCAGTTTTCCTTACAAAACAGGGTTTTTTTTTTAAACTTAAAGTTCCGTAATTATCTTAAATTGAATATTTTTAAATACTCAATAAGAGCAGAAGGGATAGAGCGCTCGTCTTAGGTGACCCAGATTCGAATCCCGATCGATACGAATTCTGCTCCCAGCTCGCACCAACCACTGTGGTGACGTAAAATATCCTTTCCGTCGGACTAACCATGGAAGGTTTCAGTAGTTTTTCTCTTTGTGTAACTCAAATGTGGGTTATTTCCATCTATTTCCTCCACAAAGTTTAATTTGATCCAGAAGCTCCCTTGTCTTTTGGATTGGGATTACAAGACTACAGAAATGTACATTGATATAGTTGTAATCTCAAAAATAGGTCGGCTGTCTAACACCAACTAAAAAATTAAATGCTTAATATATATTTCATAACAAATAAGAAAGTTTGAAATATTTATTAATTATTTAAAGGTTTTCCTTGCGAAAACTGTGACTATTCAATAGGCTTCTCTACAATTTTTTATAGTCCTCACGATTTAATAATTTTTTCTATTTCTGTTCAGGCGCAATTAAATTAGAGTTAACTTCTCCCACGAAAAGATTAATCAGGATTAAAATTTAACAATTAAAGTCTTAAGTCAAGCATCTGCATAAAAAGGAATTTAAAATGAAGATTAACATTGATGACATTAATGTAATACATACTTTTCCGTCACTATTATTTGGTGAATCGAAATTGCTCAGAAACTTTAATAAGACTTCTTCTTCAGTCTTTTTACCATCGATGACATCTGGATGCTGTTTGGCGCTGTAAACACCTCTCAGGTCATCCAAAGTAACAGAACCATCTCCTGTGTTGTCCATCTTTGAGAAAGCTCGTCCAATAACCTCTAATCTTTCTTCGGATAGAGGAGGCTGAAATCAAGTAGTTTTGGTTATAAAGTCTTTAAATATTTTATATTCATTATAGGTAATGGGAAAACAACATTGCGACTGTTTCTTTTAAACATTTATTTAAATTTGACGAGAGCATTATGAAAACACGTCATGTTTTTTGTAATTAAGAAAACGATTAAAAAATTTCTTATACTGAGAACACGTCTACTCTGTATTAGCAGTGTTTTTCGATGCTTTTTCGCCAAGCAAAGTAAATAAATGAAATAAAATGTTACTGTTTAAGTTATTTTTAAAATATACGATATCTTGTCGTAAATAATTATCTAAACTTAAAATAGACAAAAAATTTTAAAAATAATTTAACTTTTTTAAAAAATATCGCCAGTTTGGCGAGATTTTTTCACTTAAATGAAAACTATCAAAATCAATGAATATAACTACATTTTTTCAAAATTTTATGAATCCAGATAATTCAACGTTGAAGTAACTTTTCGAATATTAAAGAATTAAATTACAAGGGCTTTTTATTTTTACGAAACTGGTTTTTCTTCATATTGATATTTTCAGAATCAGTATAGAATAGTTGAAAATAAGCTTAACTTGGTCTAACTGTTATGAATAACTATTACAAACTGGCAATAATAATGGAAATAGCATATTATTAGCCAAAAAACGTTATTTCTTGGGACGATAGAGCCTTCCAAAATAGCCTTAAAGCTACTCTTGCAGGGGGGAAATTAAGCCCATCTTCATTAGTAAGGCAATGAAATAAATCAAAATACGTGAAGTGTAAAGTAACTAGTGAACTGTTAAAGGAATAACTATTGAGATATGTGTTAAATAACTAGTGAACTGTAAAAACAGTATTGTGCAAAGAAGTATAAGACAAGTTACACAACTTTTCTTCAATGAAGCCTTTCTTTTCGTAAGGGTTTAAGATTGAACCAACAGTGCTTACATTTTTAAATCCACATTGTCGGAGGAAAAACAAGATTTATTTCGATTATGTATGAGAATAGCTATACCTTGAGGAAAGCAAAATCTATTTTGATACACCAATTTTCGAATAAATAGCGCATTCAAAAGAATCCCCCCCCCCCAAAAAAAAACTACATTTTTTTACTGCAGATAACTGACGCTATGAAATCTTAATTACTTTTATAAAGAATGAAATTTTAAAAAAGTAAAACATTCTAGCCCCGGCCCGTTAGTACTAGGTGGATCAAGAAAGATGAGGCTTCAAAGTTTCGTGAACGAGAGACAGATGATGGCAATGCTGTCAGAATTGTGCACCGACCGCTTTTACATCCCAGATAAGTTGGTACCCATCAATCAGAAGCTGAATGGGCTTCAACCTGCCACCTGGGATCGAGCTTCGATCTTTCACAATGTGATTTAGTGCCTTAACTACTGAATCATCGCGGCTTTTTAAATTATGTATTTAAAATTTAGATTCCACACCGCAAAATTGGGTGATTTTGTGCCACTCAAAATTCGCCACTCAGAATTCAAAATTCGGTCACTTAGATATTTTTATTGTTCATTAATCCTTAAATATGTATCTGTTTAAGGTAATAAGGTACTTATTAAACGCGTGGAAAAATACCCTTTTTTTTTGTCTTAAAGTAACGTCACCTTCCTCATATTTCTTCTTCTCATTACAACTCGAATAATAAGATATCATATAGAGATGCATTGAAAATGTATCGTCCGTAGTGCAGACCTTTTGTCAACTACTTTAATAAATGAGAAAATTAATGTTCTAAATAAACACAACATTCAATTATTACGCTGTTGATTTAGTGCCAAGTAATTTTGAAAAATAATTACAAACGATAATCAATGTATCGATTATTGTGGATTAAAAGGTTGCGCTGAAAAACTTTCTTTTCAAACAACTTTAGAGCGAAAAAGATAGATAGATAAAAGTTTGAAAATACTTTTAAATAATATTTAATAATTTAAAATAAAATATTGAAAACTATGTTCAATAAGTACAGTTAAAATAATGAATTCTATACAAATTGAATGAAGTAAAGTTCAGAACGAACTTTCTGCGCTTTTGTAGTCTCTTCGGGAAAAAGTATTTAACGTGTTTTTATAGTAACTAAAATTTAAAAACAAGTTTGTGGATGTATTTGTAAACTGAGTAAAATGAAAGTGTTTGCATTTTATCACAGGAAACCTGGAAACTAGATCTGTGCCAGTAATCGTTGAGATATAGAAATGATTGCCTGTATTTCATAATTTTAAAAGCAATGGCTTCGTGAACAGAAGGAAAAATTCTTCTTTCAAAAATTTTTAAATCGTGCTTCATCCTTCGATGAAGCACGATTATGTCGATTTTCCGTACTATAACTGGAGATTTTTACATATTTCTTTGTAAAAGGTTCGGTCTACAAAAAAAAATAATAATAATTACTTTTAGTTTTATAAATGTTCGAAAATTCTCCTAATTGTGTGGAGAAAAAAAACTGAAAAACTAGTGTAAATTCAGATCTTCTTCGAAAGGTTATTTTTGCAAAAAATATACCCCAGAATTTTGTGATTTCGGGAAAATAAAATTTCGTTTTTACATTAAAAAAGAACATATCTTTGAAGGAATTTTAGTTTTAAAATTATGTATTAAATATGTTATTGACACCGTTTTTCGAAAGGAAAGTTTTGTGCAGTTTTTTGTTTAGCGATAAAATATTCCGTGAAAGGTTAATTTTACTAACAAAACATTTTGTAAAGGGTCCAGGTCAACAGGCCCGGCCTTATCTCCTGAACCTTCGTTTCTCCTTGTAACGATGGTAAAATAAATAATAATAAAAGCATTTAAAAGTCCATCATTTCGCTTTAGTACTTACTTACTTCCCTATTTAAGATATAATTCAAAAGATTGAAGAAGAAAAAATTTAATGTTCTAATCAAATATTCTATACCATCGCGAAACGCTATAATAAATTGCACAAGGATTGATGAAGGATTGATTCTTTATTCGGACAAAATTCAATGATGACACAATTGAAGAATAAACTTACACCTACTCGAACAGCTTTGAGAAATTCTTCAAAACTGACAGTCCCACTACTATCTTTATCCAGCTCATTAAAAAGTTCGGACATTTCCTCATCACCCAAGTCAGCTCCATATTCTTGTAAGCCAAGCTTCATCTCATCCAAATGCAACTTTTTGTCTCGGTTGTCATCCATGAGACGAAACGCCCTGAAATGAGATTGTAATTCAAATATGTCAAAAAAATAAAATTATAAAATAAGCATATTTATTCCTTATTATCTGAAAATAATGAACTATGTGATAAAAATGTTTGAAAAAATTACAAAACATTTATATTTTTACTACTTCTAACTTTAAATTTTTTAAATTAAACTTTTAATTAAAATTCTTTCTTTAATTAAGTCGTTTTTCTTTTCTTTTCCGAAACCCTTTTGTTAAAAATTAAAAAAACTAATAATTTATTTCTGAAAGCATTCTGAATTAAATAAACGTAAAAAGTTTCTTTTTAATAATATTAATTTAATTTATTTCTTTTCATATTGTTGCAAAACTTTTGTTACTGTCGGCGTCAAAATAATGTCTTGAGCCATTTTTATGTGTTTTTATTGTTTTCCTAAGCCTAAGATGGATTTTTTAACGCTTGTCCCACGTAATGCAATCAATCTTTTCAATCAATCGTGACTTCGCTGAAAAAATAACGTTTTGATCCATTTTTAAGTGTTTTACCGTTCAGCTTAAGATTGATTTTTTAACACTTAAACCACGCAATGCAATCTATCTTTTTAACGAATCGTGACTTCGCTAAAGAAATATTCGAAAGAAAGTACCCTCATTCCCTATACTTACATAATATTGCAAATGCCAAACTTCTACATAATTTATTTTATTAATTTTAAATTTACTTCAAAATAAGTTGCAATATATGCAAATAAAAACCTTTTTTTCTTTTTAAATTTACATGACAAATAGATTTACTTGTAGATTTACTTAATAGATTTAATACACTGAATTTTTTCTTCCTCAACAAATACCTCGTTAAGAAACATTATTTAATATTTAAATATTGTAATATAAAAGAATTCAAAGAAATGTTTTGAGCATTACAAAATTGTAACTAGTTACCTGGAAAGTCCAATTATTCCATTTGCACCTCTTGCTCTGCATAGCTGGCGTAGTTTCTCAAGTACTTCAGACATTGTTGACAGTGCAAATTATCTTTGAAAGACAAAAAAGGTTCTTTTATCAAACTATATCCTATCCGTACCTATGTTTAAATAAAAAGTATTTACTAAATTGTCTTTTATGAATGTGTAAAAAAGATTTTATTGACAATAAATTCTTCAATTTGTATTATTCTAAAGAGCACACGTTACAAAAATTAATGCAGATGGATTGGGACAATCTATTTGGAATGATTTGAAGTGGAGATAGGAAATTATTTACCGAAGTGTCCGAATTTTTCGTTAATAATCTTAAATCCTAATGATTAATAAAAAAAATTCTCTTAATTTCATTTCTCTTAAAAAATTTGAATAGGCTAATACAATCAACTGTAAATAGTATGAAATTAATGAACAGTGATTTATCGCCCAAATAAAATATTTTGCACTCCATTAAGAAAAAATTATTTTTCACAAGAATGATCGAAAAGCAATATTTAAACACCTAAGGCTTCACAGGGGTCTGTCCATCGTGAAAAAATTACTCACATTCTTTCAACCAGGGTCCTGCTTTTATGAATTTGTGCAAATACGATCCAGTTATTACAAAAAACTTTTTCAATGAGTTTTTAAATTGTAAATAGATACAAGATTATGCTCAGCACTGTAAAATTATAATAAAAAAATTACATTTTCAAAAATAAACAGCAATCGCTGCTTCTAAATTAGAGATGCAACATACAAATATTTGGTAACTAGCCTATACTTCTGAACGTTGAATATTCATTTCAGACGAATAATGGAAGAATCGTCTGCCGAAGACAAAACTTAATTCATTTACATCCATCTTTCTTGTTTTCTGCCCTGGGAAGGGTTTATTCAATTAACAAAATAATAATGAAGATAAACAAATTTGTGAAGGGTCCGATTAAAAGAAAAATCATTTTGTGAAGGGTCCGTTTTTAAGTTAAAATATTTTGTGAAGGGTCCGCTTTAATGAAACGATATTTTGTTAAGGGTCCGTTAACAGACCCAAATTTCTTCTAAACAGACCCCTGCTTCAGGAGATGGTGGAGTTTAAAGAACATTTATGATATATATATATACATAAAATTTCACCAAAAATATATAATTAAAAGCATTTTTACACATCTATTAACCTTGTCTAGCATAAAAATATTTTTAAATACACATTATAATAATGAATAAATGGTGAATGGAATTTTTTCGCCAGACATAACCAGAGAATTAAAAAAGTCCCTAATTACCAATAGCACAATATACTATATTAATTTATTTTTTATTAAAAAGCACATATGTTTTTCGATCCTGTGATGCAAAAGATGTCCACAAAACATTCCGAATTGACCCCGCCCTTACACTTTTTTCTAAGAATAAATGAAAATCTTTGTTCTCCTAAATTGACCTAGCATGTTAGAATTTCTTTCTGTACTTGAATAAGGGTAATTAAAATGAAATATAATACTATCAATAATAAATAAACCAGATGCTTTTATACAAGTATGTTTTGTTCGATTTTTTATAAATATCAAAGTTGGAAAAAAATGTTAGGAAACATTTCAAATTACTAAAATGAGTTGTTTGAAATTAAACTTTGAAAGGAATATAAATTTTGAAGAAGAAAGGCGTTGATTCGTTTTATTTTGTAATATTTTTAACACTGTTCATTGGAGAATTTGATTTTTAAGGGAGGTAATTTGAATGGTTTCAAAATTAAATGTTTAACCTACTCTAGAAGTAGAATAAACAATGTATATTTTTGGAATTTTTTTTCTAAAACATTAGAATAAAAAAAACTCAGGATCTGTTCGGCCGATTTTGCTCAAATTTTTCATTTTGTCATGTCAATTTACATTCTTTAAAATTATATAAAAAAATTTATACCTTACAGTTCAATAACCGACTAAATAAAACAATAAAAAATAATAAATATTTATTGAAAATTATTCTTTGCATGGAATAATCTTTGGATAAACGAATTTTTTAATTGTAAGAAGAAAAAAAATTTCGATTCGCTTAAAAAGCTCTAGGGATATAGCGAAATATACAAAAAGTAAAATTAACGTTCAAACTTTGAACAGCTCTTTCAAAGCCTCCTAGGAGGCTTTGGCTCTGCTGACCAAACTATTAGGACCATATTTCCTAGATTGCTGTTATCTCCGATATTTTGGGGGTGAGGAATCCAAATCCGTCGAAATAAATTGTTTATTCAGAGAAAGTACATTTTTGTGTCGAATTTTGGATCTTAAAATATAGCCTGCAGAAATTAATTAGTATATTTGAGGTCATGAGCCTTTAAGTTAGAATCGTAATATTTGAAAATCCGATCATTAGAACAAAAGTTACAAAAAAAAACAACAAAAAAAAAAGAAAATTCGCACTGTACATACGTATAAGCTGTTTGAGTATAAAAAAAACAATAAATTACTGAAACTGTTAGAAAAAATTACTTTCAGAATGCAAATAAAATATTATTTGCATCATATATTGAAGTATATGTAAAGTTTCTTACTTTACCGACTACTTTGCTGATTTGCAAATATAATATTCGAAATATTTGACAATAACTCATAAATATTCTATGAAAGATTTAAAATTCTTTTTTCGACTACAGATAAAAAAGGTACTTCCTGGAAAATCTCTCAAAATAAAAAAATGAAATAGTAATAGCCTCCGCTTAAGGTGTTGGAAGGGGGGGGGGGGCTACACGGATATTATAACACTTAGAAATGAGGAACTAGAAAGGCCTATAGAAAAAATATATAGGGATAGGAATTATAATTAAATAATAAAATATAGTATTCAACAATTAGTTCGAAAACTACTAAAGGGGTAATAAAAAATAGCACGTAGGCTTCTCCATGACTCAGAAAAATACAGCTAATAAATTGAAATTTGAATCGCTGAAACAGAGATTTTTGTCTGTAATTTTGATATTGAGATTTTTTTTTTTTTTAAATTCCAATTTATTTGAAAGTTATTCCAATTTTATGTGCTGTTTACGTGAATTTTTTTCCACACTTTTTGCTTTAAACAATGGCCATATCCTTTGCTGCAAGAGAAGTAGGAAAATTTATTTATCCCTCTAAATTTTAATTTTAAAGGCTCGCTCTTCTTCGATGAAAATAAAAAATAGAAATGGGCTGTCTTGAAATCGTTCAAATTTTTCAAAATTAATTTCCAACTCGTTTCGCACTGGGACAAAATTGTTTTGAATCGTTTTTATTATGCAAAACATAGTACCGAAAGAAAATAATGGAGTGTCTGTTTACAAAACAAAAGTCAATGATAAATCGTAATGAATAAAAAGATATTAAATTTTTTCTCAAGGTCAACTTTTGCTTATTTTATCCCTTGAATTGGAAACATTTTGCAAAAGTTTGCACTTTTCACTTGATTACATCGATAGAACAAAATTACTCTGGATGTTTTCAATTTGTCTCAGGAGAGAGCATTGAAATATCAATTTTGTAAACTCTCTCCCAAGACTAGAAACTATTTTTCGATCTCCAACTAATGAAAGAAGTATACAGATCTTTGGAAGACGTTACAAATTGGGTGAAATAACTCCAGTTCACTCGACTCGAATTCAATAAAATGCAACTTAGACTGTAATTTACTTAGAACCTTCATCTACTCAGCTCCTTCAATAGGAAAAATAAAATAAAAACTATTCTTAACAGTATTTTATTTTATAACCAGCTTTGAACAGAAGACCAAATTCTCGGTTCATGACTATCAATGTTCCATTCGGTGTTCTTGTTAATTTTGAGCCCAACCATTTTTATTATTTCCTATGAGCTGCACAATCAGGCTACCCGATGAGCAGACCTAGTGCGTTCTCCAGAAGTGGTATCCACTCTTTCAGGACCACCACAATGGGTGAGATACCGTTGGACATGTTAATTTGGACGTCTAGTTTCTGCCACACTAGATGGCAGCACTGAGACTCTATTTGGATGCTAAAATGCACTAGGAATTTAATTTTGCCGGAAATACCAAGAGCCAATAAGGCACTCCAGGGATCTTTTACATGCCGCATAATCATACGACATGGCCGCTGAGGATTTTCTGCATCCCGAAAATCCGGTGTCTGAGCCGTAGATCGAACCCGCAGACTTGGGCTCAGAAGGCCGACGACAAACCAACTGCGCCACCCAGCCACTAAGCCCAACCAAAAAGAAAAGAAAACTCCCGGATCAAGCATTGCGAGAAACTAGCCTTCGCAGAAGCTTTTTGATGGAACTTCCCCGCATCTGTGTTACATGGAGACGAAAATCATCAATCCCACAATTAGTTCGAGGTCAAGGGGATTCTTACGTATCAATCCATCAACCACTGAGATATTCTACATTAGCAGTGGAGTGGTAGATGCGAGCCGGGGGCGAAATTCGTATCGACCAGCCTTCGCTGAGATTCCAACCTGGGTTGACTAATTGGGAAACGAGTGCTCTTTCCCCTGAGCCACCAAAGCTCTCTTGAAAGTATTGATGAACTGGCAGCAGTTTTTACAACAACAACAACAAAAATCCTGATTTTTAGAAAACTGTAGCAATTAGGGAAGATCGAAATAACAACTTATAATCCGTTCTGATATCAAAACGGAGGAACACGAAAATCGATTTCTCATTCGTAAATGTAAAATTCCGGAAAACGTATCAAGCATTGGGAGAAACTAACCTTCGCAGAAGCTTTTTGATTTAACTGCCCCGCATCTGTGTGACATGGAGACGTAAATCATCAATCCCACAATTAGCTCGACGTGGAGTAGATGCGAACTGGGGGGGGGGGCGTAATTCGTATCGAGCAGCCATCGCTGGGATTCGAACCTGGGTTAAATCATTGGGAGACGAGTGGTCTTACCCCTGAGCCACCTCGGCTCTCGCGAAAGTATGGGTGAATTTAGAATTTAGGCTCTTAAACAGATTCCATGTGTTGCAGAAATTTTTACAAAACTGTCCTGTTTTCCTGTTTCCAAAATTCCTGTTTTTTAGGAACTGGAGCAATTAGGGAAGAGTGGAATAACAACTTATAATCAACTGATAACAAAACGGAAGAACACAAAAACCAATTTTTTATTCGC